GTAATAATTTCTTCCATAAATTGATTTTTTTTCTTAAAAATACCCTGTTTATAGAACCTGCGAAGTTCCTTTTTTGTCAGAATAGAAGTTACAAACATTGCACTTAAAAATTTTTTATTAGAGATTTCAATTATTTACAAAAAGCTGTAAAAATAACAGAGATGAGCTCATTACTGCAGCAATAAATCCTGACGCAAATTTTTATTTAAAAAAACCAACAAATTTATTTTCATATTTTATCTTTAAAACAGCTACTTTGAATAATTTGAAGGATCTAACGAGGCTTTACTGAACATGTGCAGCAAAGATTTTCTACTGTCAGACTTGGGTGTGCCTTTTTCTGAGCTACAAATGCTCTCCAGAGGACACAAAGTGAGTTAGGTCATCGTTCTTGAGTATTTTACATTTATAACATCATCTCATCAGTTTTTTGCATGAACATCTGTGTTTTATTATTATGTGATTGTTAATCACACCCCAAAGAGCCGGAGCTGCAGTGTTGTACCACGTTTCACATTATAATTCACAAGTAAACAGAAAACGTGATGTTTCCTGTGTTTCATTTGTTTACTTTCATGAGCTTTTGTCATATTGATCGGTGCCACCAAGGCTAAAAAAGGAGTCCCTGCAGTCTGTGAAGGTGCGACAGGATTTTGGATGTAAACCTGTGTTGACATGGCCAACTGTTTTCAGGGGTGGACTGAGACCAAAATTTGGCCCTAGCACTTTTATGGACCGTCAGCCCTCGGCAGGGAAGGTTGCTACTCGCGACTCGTCTATCCCGCCAAATTTGGGTGTGTGTGGGTGGGTGTGTGTGTGTGTGTGTGGGGGGGGGGGGGGGGGGGGGTGCTGTTTGCGGACTTGTCTCTCTTCATGTGAGACGGGCGCTTGGTTTGGAACGGCACAAGCTGGGCAAGTGGCCCACTTGGCTAAGCGGCCCACCGCGACAGTGCCAGAATGCCAGATAGGCCAGTCCACCCCTGGGTATGATTCTAGGGTATGATTGTCAGGAAAATGTCCTCTAGGACAATTATAAAATTAGCTGAGTCAAATGACGACTTTGTCACACAAAGTGGGAAAATGTAAAACCAAAAACAAAACCATAACCATGACGGTCTGTCATCACTGTAAAATGTATTTCAATTAGAATGATGGTTACATATTTTAACCCCACATTCAATTTCATGTATCAGTGTAGATTCAGAGAAATTACCCAAATATGACCCTAAAGGGCAACGCCTATTCTCATAGAATCTACATTATGTAACCATCGAAATATGATCAGTCACTCAGAGTTTCACATGCATACTGAACATAAAAATGTCCTCCAATCCTCATGTCCTGCCTAAGCCGCAGAAAAAAAGTAGATGGAGAAACAGTCAGGTCAGAAAGATTTCTTTTATGTCATAGGGAATATTAGCATGCATGGCCCCACCCACCACAGCTTCTGAGAGCAGAGCTTGTCTAGACTAGTAGGAGCTAACAAAACAAATCAAATCAAAGATACTTTCTTAATCCCAGAGGGAAATTAGAGTTTCAGTACACACAATTCAGAGATCAGACATACATGGGCAAGACACATGACAAGAATTGGTGACTGTGGTCATTCACAACCCTGAGTCACACTACCTCAATAGAGATAAGAGGGTTACATGAGGATTGGTTCAGGTGGAGGGAAAAAAGGCACTTCAGAGTTACCTTCCACTGGGAGGGCAGCTTTGCTCTGCAAAAAAACACCTCAGACAGATATGCAACAGACTTCAGACAGCACAAGTGTCCACTAGGTAGGGTGGTGGGTTGGGACTATCCCCACTTCAGTTCCTGCAGCCACGATAAGCAGCGCATGTCACCTCAGTGTGGATAGGGGGAGGAGCATTGAGGGTTGGAGGGTTGGAGGGTTGCAGTGACCTTGGAACGTTTCAGCGGCCTTCCCGCAGTCCCGCCCAGGCTGGGAAAGGAGACAGAGTTGAGTTGCCATAGCGACGGCACATTCTACATATCTTCTAAGGGGGGAGTTTTCGTTGGAGCCTTGCAGGCTCAAGGGCGCCAGATTCCAATTAGAAATTGTTTTGGGGCCAGACAGAGATAATTTCCTCTCTGTCTTACAGTTTGTTGGTCCTCAACCTCTCAAAATCCCAATAATGGACCTTAATCTATCCCAATCCGTGCTGATTTGTCCACTCTGTCCTTGATGGCATCCATCTTTTGTGCCAATGAATGAATCTCGGCCAAAGTTCCAAGCTTACGATTCATCTCGACAATTATGTGAGTCTGTGAATTCACAGCGTGGTGGAAACCATCTTTGAGCTCTGGGATCAGGCCAATATTCCTCGACAGCTTGTTAATTTTCCGGTAAGCCAGGTAGCCTCCAAGGTCAATGAGCAGGAAACCTGACACCAACACAACAAATATCCACACGTCTTCAGAGTCTTCCATAGACAGCTGAGATAAACAAATCAAGTTCCGCTGTTTCCAGGAGTCCATGATGTGTCCAACTGAGACTGTCCCGGAGGGACAACCGGGAGCCCCTTCTCCCGTTCTCATCGTTGAAAAAAAATTTATCAATCGCGTTGAGAGACCAACTGACAAGATCCATTTTAGTGAATTTCAGTTTCCAGTTTCCAGAAAAAATGCAGAAGCAGCCGTGCACCCAGCACACAGAGAAAGACAAAGGGCCTTGATGATAAGATATGGAGGAGAGGAGGAAAACAGCGTCTGCACCCTCCAAGAGCCGGAAGAAGCATTGGCAACTTTGCCATATGGTGGAACACATATGGGCTTGTGTTATTAGTTTCATTTTGTCACCCAAGAAATAAGAGCAAACGAAGGCAGCAGAAGAGTTTAATCCTCTCAACATAACGTGGTTTTAGACACATCTGAGAGCCTACCTGAGGAAACACTGGACCGTTTTGTCCTGGTTGAAGCGGAGACTCTTGATAAAGTTTTCATCTCAGTGAGACCCACCACATGTGTCCTGGACCCTATTCCCACTAGGTTTTTTAAACAATTTTATGATTCTTTTAAAGATGAGGTTTTAACTATGATGAATTGCTCCCTTCAGACGGGGGTTTTTCCTGCCACTTTTAAACGGGTGGTGAGGCCCCTGCTGAAGAAGAGCAATTTAGATTTTAAAATAAATTATGACAAACGGAAGGTGACTGTGTTGGTTCTACTGGATCTAAGTGCTGCCTTTGTTACAGTAGACCACACTATTCTTTTAACTCGTTTGAAATGGATCGGCCTCTCTGGTGCTGTTCACCAATGATTCACATCCTACCTCACAGACAGGACCTTTATGGTGAGTTTGGATACCTGTTCCTCTAGGGTTCATGGGATTACATGTGGTGTGCCCCAGGGTTCAATTTTAGGCCCAGTGCTTTTTAACCTTTGTATGCTCCTTCTTGGCAGTGTCATCAGTAGACATGGGGTGAATTTCCAAAGTTTCGCTGATGATACGCAGCTGTACATCTCTGTGTCCCCTGATGACACACGGCCAGTGGATGCACTTTTTAATTGCATTTTAGACATCAAATCCTGGATGACAGAAAACTTTCTCCAGCTCAACCAGGACAAAAATGAAGTTTTAGTCATTGGTCCTGGGGCCCAGAGAGAGAAGCTTTTACCAAAATTACAATCGCTGTCTCTTTGTCAGAACCCAAGTCCCCAAACCAGCCTCTCCCAGCTAGCCGATCTCCACCATGGACCATGTCCATAGTTCACGCTATGTGTTTGATTTAACAAGTTAATCATTATCTACACTCATACATGTCTTCATAATATACAATTAAGGTTAAGGTTCACCTCACAAAAGTGTTTTAAGCCCTTATTTTTCACAGTGTTAAGAATTTTGTATCTGAAAGAAGGCATGGGTTTCTGAGGTTGGTAAATACTCAGAAACATGTCAAATTCTGATTTGCCAAAGTTGGCCAGAAATCATAACAAAGTAGTTTATTAAAACAGGATTTACTTCCCGGTTAATTCAGTTTCCAGCTGAACCCTAATTCGGCCAAATCAGGAAAGAAGCCTCTTTTGAAACAATCTCCTTTGACCTTAAGTCAAAGCCTCTCTGCAATGATACGGCTTAGACGCAAATAAGCATTCCAGCTTTCGGCCTTCACCTCAAGGGATCTCAGACTGGACGGGTCCTATCGGAATTATCTACGGGTTCCTGATATCAGAGTTCCCTCCACCCGCAGTGACCATCGACCCCCCCAGATCGAACGAGAACCTCCACATCAAGGGTGCGTAGACTTGGCACAACAGATTGTGTCTGATGCTGTTTTTTCAATAAACAACTCTCTAGCTTGGAACAAAATAACAAATTCTTTTACACCCAAAGGTCACAATTTCTCTTAGATACAAAGAATGGTTGCTAACATCTAGGTTCCATCACAACACCTCACATCCACCACACCACATCTCATTATTCATATCTTGTCATGTATAAATTATTAGTTTAGGAAAAATAATTACATTCACTTTATAAACTATATACTTAACTCTGTCTGAATTAATACGAAGTGTGTTTATGGTCAATAAAGAAGCAAAGAACTCTAGAATCTTCTGATTAAACATTCAAAGATCAATCAGATTGAGATTTCATATTTATATGGAATAATCACACCTTGGTCATAATTAATATGTAATAATTGCCACACTACGGACAGCAGTTGAAAACGAGCTCTAGAGCTAATACTGACATCTTTACAGAAGAGTCAATCAATCTGTAATGTTCAGAAATAAACTAATAAATAAATCAATACATCTCTGGTTAATAAAACCCATGAGCTGAAATAAACAAAACCATGAATATGGGTCAAGTAAATGTGATGGCAATGGTTCATTATTGTGTGTGTCTTTCATACAAAAGAAGAAAGAAGGAATCATTTTGTTATTTAAAGGAGTGAGTTTTCAATTCTGAAAATTCTGAAACCCAAAGCAGGTCGAGGGACGTCTGGCCGTTATTTTTTCCACTTCTTTTTTACTCTGATGGGCGTGTCTTTCCGTTGTAGCCTGATCACGTGACCAGAAAAAGAACAAACATTCGAGAAGTTTAGATTTCTTCCGCAAACTTTTATCAAGGTGAGTCCGTTTCTGACCACAGTGTCTTCGTGTCGACGCGCTCGTTTTAGAGTAAGTGCGTGATTAAAGATAAGGATGAGAAACAACTGATTCCTTCTCACGGATTCATCCCTAAACTGTTTTGTTTCATTTCTCTCACCATATCGCACTTTTTATCCGCCGAAACCCTTAAATTTCCTCATCTGTTTAAACAGAAATAATTAGACTTTATGTGTTTTTAACGCAGATGTGAAACTTTTCTGGGCGTTGGTTCCGCTGAAGTGTCACCGCTTCACTTCCAGGAAGTGTTTTATTTCTCGCCATAATGGAGGAACTGAACTGAACTGCGGTGTTTAACGCGTGCTTGTTTGTTTCTCTCCCCCTTCGGATGTAAAAGGATCCAATTAGAGGTTCGGTTATGATCTATCCGTGTTCCATTAGGCCGCATTAACAGCTGGTTAGCGTTCGAGCGGTCAGAAAGAAACATGACGCGTCTCGAGCTTTTAGTCTAAACGAGTTTTCACAGATAACGTCCATTCCTGTTCAGTTATTATTATTAATGATTAGTAATCATTCTGACTGAATATTTGCTACAGAGTTCAAATGTTTTCTCCATTTTAAAATGTGCAAAAGTCTAAACCATTTAGACAGTTTTTTATTCAACCAAATATAGTAGAATGGTCTAATAATCCAATTTAAAGTTCACTTGAGTAAATAAACAATCCGAAATATTTTTTCTAACAATATCAGAATCAGACAACTGGATGGAACTCACATGGTGAATTTAGCACAACAAATCAAGGTACGAGACAAAGAAATGGTGGATATAAAAATAAAAACATATACATGCAAATACATCTTTACTCGATACAAAGAATGTTTGCAGCAGCAGTTAAATTATGTTTTTTCTCTCATTAAATCTGGTTTTGTGTTTCAGTTTCCTGGCAGGGAGGTGCTTTCCTGCTGCTAAAAAATCTATGAAGTTTGTCAGAGAAGCTTAAACATCCCAGAATAAGTTCCTCAACAAGTCATGAGCTGTTTATTATCTGAGTGGCAGTGAAGGAAAAGCAGGTCTTCCAGTGTTTGGAAGGTTTCTGCCTTGATCCCAGTAAGTGATTCTGCTGTTGTGTCCTTGAGCAACACACTTTATATGGCTTGTTGCCTCACCTTTGTGGACACTGAATAGAAGTGTCTACCAAATTCCTAAACATAACATAACTCCACCCTTGCATGCACCAGAAATGCAACATTTGGCTATTCCCAATGATGCTTGTAAAACAATAACATAAATCCATGATAATAACAACAGAATTCCATGTTAATAACTACAGAATCCTATGTTAATTACTGCAGAATTTCATGTAAATAACTACAGAATTCCATGTTAATAACTACAGAATCCTATGTTAATTACTACAGAATTCCATGAAAATAACCACAGAATTGCATGGTAATTACTACAGAATTCCACAATACTAACTGCAGAATTCCATGTTAATAGTGATAAAAATCCATGTAGTCTAGTGGTTGGTTGCTCCTTTGTCTTTAAAACTTCTTTCTTTAAGCGCTTCTGTTTGGAATATCCGTGTGGAGGCGCTTCGTTCTCTGAATGACCCACGGGAGCCTGGAAAGGAGATAGTTCACCCCATTTTTATCACAGTCAAATCGAATGAGCCATAGTTACTGTACATTTTCTGTTTCTTGATGGAATTTCATGCGGTTGTACTCTGGTGTTACAATAGAATTATACTAATGTACCGGCTCTGTATCACGGATTTTACAGGGTTAGACCTTAGAGTGATTTAAGCCCACTTTTGTCCAAGGAGGCAGGAATTTCTTTATGCTTCTGCTGGTGAAGCTTCTGTAAATGAATGAATGTTGATGATGAAGGTTTATAAAAGTATATTTTGCTTGAATCTCACTGAAACTGAAGCCGTTTTAAGTCAGCAGAAGCTATGAACAGAACCTGTTGCATCTCAGCAGGAATTTTGGGAAATCTGAGGCAAACTTGGCCCATGAATGCACCATGAGAGCTGCTTAGCTTTGATTAGCTTAGCATCAGAAACTTGACTCACCTGGTGATGAAATATTATATTTACTGAAACAATAGATCACTAAATAATTAAATAAAGTCATATTAGTTCCTTTAATGTTGTTTCTGGTTTTTTGGCCTTGGTGGAACCTAAAGGTCCAACCCTGCTTTAGGCTGATGAATGGGGGCGAACTGCTTCGAAACCCCCCAGGAGTGACTTGATATCAGTGCACATACATTACTCTTCTGTCTGTGGTTGCCTTGCTGAGTTTCACTGGAAAATGCTCCCTCGTCTAGCAAGTTTAACCTCCTCCACCAAATCGCCTCCCACGCCTGCTGCTTGTATCGACTTGAGTAGAAAGAGCCGAGCGGGTACTTCTCACAGAAAATAACCGTGAGCAGCAAACCTGAATTACACCACTTGGAAACCGGTTAATGATCTAAAGCTGCAACTTGGAGTTGAGGTTGGTTGTTATATAATAGGATTTCTGAGTGAGATACAGATTTCTGCTTTCCAGTTGTACCAAGGACATGTCTGAGCAGGTCCAGGAGGGAATAAAGGCTCCCCTCCCATTCAGGCTTTTATATAATTTCTGGAATTCTGTTTGTGTTAGATTAAGATTTTCCTGCTCCAGTAGACGACTAGCTCGGGTTAAATAGTGCCAGACTGAGACTGTTCATACAAAAACAAAGGAGAATTGTTAGAGCTATTTATTCTTTATTATGAAATTTGTTCAAATGTATTCTGTATTACTTTATTAGGTTTAGGTTAGGGCTGCACAATATTAGGAAAACTTGTGACATACGATAACAGTGATTAATATTGTGATGACGATATTACTTGCGATAAATAAAAACTTAACTCAGGAACAAAAATGGTCAAAAATTTTAAAATGATAAAAAAAAATCATAAAAAAGAGATAAGCAAAAGATGTGAGGAAAGGGGAAAAGAAAATGGAACTAGAAAGGGCAATCATTGGATCCTTTGAAAAGCAGAAAGAGCAGAACAAAGCTAACTCAGGTGTTTGCTAATCTTCATTATGAAATGTCATCTGCCTCGGGGCGGGCATCTAACCTATGAGAACCCACCCAATTGGCCAAATGGGTGAAGAGCTTTATTTGATTTGTTAAAAACCATCATGCTTCCGTTTGATTGACAGAATGCATTATGTGTAGCAAACATTTGAGCTGACCATTCATTGCGATATTTATCTGTTCTTTGGGATATGCATATTGCGCATGCTGATATCGCGATAACGATATATTAGCGATATATTGTGCAGCCCTAGTTTAGGTTTAATTGTAGGTTATTATTTTTTTGTTTTGTTTACCGTTGTCAGTCAGGCAGGAAAAACTGTGGGGCCATTTCTAAAAGAGACTGAATTAGGACCAGCATGCACTGAGGTCAGCACATTGACAGATATACTGGACAATTCATGTCCATAAGCTCGAATTATACGTTTTTGTTTCCAAATGGGAGGTTCCCTTCCCACCCCCGCCATTTTGACCGTGTCACATGGCTCTTCACCCCCAGACATTCCAACAATGGAAAAGAGGTGGAGCTGAGGGTGGGGCTGTTACGGTTGGAACAAATGAATCAGTGTAGCTACTGGCTAACTTAGCTAACCCAAGAAGCTAAAAAGGGCTCCAGGGACAACAGTAGTCCACCCGCATGGCCGACTGGCTCCCGTAAGAGGCTGTAGTCACGCTGGTCGCCTGTGGAGATCTAATATGGACTGGGACTGTTAAATTACAAGCAGACCGCTGCGATCGTAACCGGGCGCCGTGGCGTTTTACATCAGCTCATGCTCCACGGTCGGAGATCAGCAGGACATCAACTACATGCTAACCCGAAGCTAATAGAGTTTTTCTATGTGTTTTTAGCAAGAAAATGCGATAGAGAGACTCCAAAATGAAGGCCCCTCCAGCCTGCTTAGCAATGACATCATAACTGGGTAAGCTGACCGAGATATCGAGCTTTGCTGGTCCATTACGATCAAAGATCCGCGAGTCCGCTGTTGTCGGCGGTCCCAGTGTCGGTACAGGATCTGCTCGGGTGCAGGATCGGCTCGGGGTCCTTCGACTGCCGATGACGTCACATGACTGCGAATCTACTCGGCTTTCACACATACGTTTTGGAAAGACATCAGCAGTTTTGTTAATAAATTCTTGTTTGTTAACACCTAAATGTTTTCTTTATAATTGTAATTTGTTAATAAAACACCATATTATCTTTGTTTTGTAAAGAATGTGAAACTGCATAAAACCAACATCGGACTGACAATAACTAGAACAGTTCTTATGTGTAAAGCCATATATGTTTGTATTAATGTGGAGTTCGTCTGTATATTTCCTTAATTGTTATCTAAATACATTCTTTGACTCAAAATGTTGCTTGGTGTCTTTCAATAAAGTTCTTATATTTTATTTTGCCCCATTTCATCAACATCAAGAACTTTTGAGGATCACCGTTTATCATTTGCTTATATTTTACATTTCCTTTTGAAATTCAAGCATATTTTCTCCAAAAAGTGTTGATTTTTAGACTACAGGACTACAACCGCTAAGACTACGACCGCTAATTTGTTCTGACCAATCAAAATCATAACGTGATTATGTAACTTCCGTAAGCTTCATGTTCAGCCAATCAACTACTTTGACGTCATCGGCAGTCGAAGGACCCCGAGCTGATCCTGCACCCGAGCAGATCCTGTACCGACACCGGCTCTGGGGGCGTCAACTTGGCTCCCGGCTTTGTGTCGACACAGTAAACATAGAATAACTGGCTTAAAAGAAACTAAATATAATAATATTAAAAAATACAGGTTTAAGCAGGTTTTTCGATTTTTTTTCATAGAATTTTAATTTCATTTAAAAGTACCTGCAATATTTTGAGATCATTTTGTTTTTATGTTATTTTCTTTAAGTAACATCCAATAAAAAACATGTTTCAATAGTTCTATCATTTTTATCCAACCATCCATCCATTTTTACTGAAAATCTTTACTGACAGAATGGATCACGCTGCTTATTCAAGGTCGGGTCGTGGGGCAAGCAACAACCTAAACATTATCTTAAAATAAAAATAGAAACAGAATTTTGTTTTTTGAAAAAAAACCTCTTATAGTAGATTTTAACAGATGAGGAAAATGTCATTTCTTTTGAACGAATCTTCAAAGTGAACAATGAGAATTAAGTCTTTGTAGAGAATCGTTCATTTTATGAATGCTTCGCCCCCACTCACCCACATGCTGCCAGCTCCCACAGAGATCACTTCGCTTTTTCAAAAGATCCAGTCTTTTGAACGGCTCTTCGAGGCACACGGCTCCTGAATAAACGACTCTCTTCAAACAGCCATAAGTCCCAACACTAACTTCTTAAAAATGTTAAATGTTCCTGTAACCGTGGCAGCTCTAAACAAGTTTTAATTCCAGTGGAATGAAGGGAAAATGGTTCTTGGAACTGTTAAGAAAGTTTAGATGAGTGAAAAAGTATTCCTGTTCAGTCCAGATAAAGGTCATAAAGGGTCTTTGACTGACTCTGAGACATAAAAAGACACCAAACTGATCATTTTCACATCATTTAAAGTTCTGCGTGTTTCTTGTCGTGAGCGTGTGAGGACCAGAAAGAACAGAACCGGTTGTTGTGTTGACATCCATCCTTTAGAAAAACATGAATTCAACAGATAAGAAGCTGGTTTCGTTATAATTCACACGTTAATATTTTCCGCAGCTCTTCCTTTGAATCCGTTTTTCCTTGCAGGTTCTATTAGATTAACATCCAAGCTGCTCACGCTTTTCCGGTCTTGCGTCATTTCTGGGTTTTCTTGCCTTTGTTGACTCTCTGGGTGTGACCAGAAGCTCACTTGTCTCTTTCTTTCTCTCCTTATCAGGTCCTGCTGGTTTAGAAGAGACGTGAGGGACCAGGCCAGAGTCCGGACACTTTTTACCAGAACTGTAAGATCTTCCTCACAACTCTTACCTCAGTTAGTGCTCAGAAACAGTCGGCCATATGGAGAATATGAGGTTCTGTTTTTGCTGAGGATCTTAATGTTTGTCTCTTTCTGCAGCTTCAGTGTGAAAACTACGTCAGCGACGATGGAGCTGCAGAAGCTTGTAGCCGAGAAGAAGGACCTGGTGGAGACCGTGATGGAGGTGTTTGAACAAGGAGCGGAGATGGTGGCCAGCATCGCCGGTGACCTCTTCCCCGTCTTTTCCATCGCTGCGCCGATTGTCAAACTGGCTCTCGACAACGTGGAAAGCAAAGAGGCCGCGTTCATGAAGGAGCAGTTTCAGAAGGTCCGAGAGCGTCTGGAGGTGGTCTCCGAGGAGATGCAGAAGATCAACGACGAGATCAAGAAGAGTGGAGTGGACGCCACATATTTTTCTGTAGAAGAAAACATCACAAACCAGTTCAGGAAGTACATGGACATCCTCAACGCCAAACCCAAGTTCAGGGAGGTCAAGAAGAAGCTCTTCTTGGAGCATTTTGCCAAAACCGGTGGAGACAAGAACCTCAACATCCTCTACAATGCTGTGACGGGAGAGCAGTTCTCTGGTGAATCTGTGCTGGAGATCATCCAGAACTACGAGGAGAAAAGTCGCCGTCCGATGGAGGACTTCTGTGCTCGGCTGAAGAAGCTCTTCTGCGTCGGGCTCATCGCTTTGTTGGGTCACGCTGCTCTGAAAGGTTACGATGAGGAGGAGGCCCTTCTGAAGGAGTGGGGTGAGAAGATGAAGGCTGTCCAGGATAAAATGAACGCCGTCATTGAAGACTGCATCGTCAGCTTCCCTAAACAAGCCGAGCTGGACTCCCGACGGCTGGTGAGAGACCAGGCGACCTTAACCAACCAGCAGCTTGCTGACGCCATCGTAGAGAAGCTGAAGAGGAAGTACGACTGGGTGGGATGGTCTGTCCGCATATTCAAGTCTCCTTCAGGCTACTTCACCAAAAAGAAGGACTACCACTGCCCAACAGGCAAGACTCGCTTCCAGGTGCCCTCATCGGATGAGAAGCTGAACGTCTGGGTGTCGTACAGCTCCTCTCCTGAGCCCGTGAACAAGCAAAAGATCCAGCAGCTGATCCAGGAGCAGAAGAAGGTCACGGTGGTGGGCGTTGCCGAGACTCTGTTTGAGAAGTTGCCTGGCAGCTGTGTGGTTCACACCGTCAAAAGCAAAGACCTGGCGTGCGCTTGGAGCTTCTCCGAGGAGCTTCACTACTGGGAGGAGCACGATAAAGTCTACGTCTGCGTTCACTCAGCCTAAAAGGTATAGATCCAGAAAAACTGACGGATCACTAAATTTATTCTTCATTCCTATTTGCACACGAGCTGGTCCACCGCTGCCTCACTGCTCTTTAGTTTAACTAACCATCTGCCTTAAATAATCGGCTCAGCCTTTCACCTGCAGCATGACGACAACCAGACAGACCTCAGAACGTTTCACATCATCTGGAGAGAAAATAAAACATCTACAGGAGGCAAATAACAAACAACTAGAACATCTGGAAGACCGTTGTCTCATGTTATTATATTATAACTTTAGTTCTACACATGATCGTTAGCTGGACTTTGTTTAGTTTTCTCTTGTAGACTCTGTTCGCCATCTCCTGCATGTAAGATACTGACTACAAGTGCAGCTCACACTTGTTTTCCACAACTACTTCTAAACTTATTATCTTCAACGTTTCTGAGCTTTACAGGATGTGGTTTGTTATGCTAGTGCATGCTAATATGTTGGTGTCCATAGTCCAGCTGTGAGAGAGAGATTGTCTGTGCGGATGCTGATAACGATGGACTGACCTCGCCCTGCGGAGGATGTTTATACCTGAAGCACGTTTTATGTCAGCTGTGATGTTTACATGGTTAGGGTTGATGCTCTGAAACTTCAGTTCGTCGCTCATTTCTTTAAATTGTTTTGTGGCTTGAAGCTCAATCCTGTTCACAAACCTTGTTTTTGGAGCTTTAATTTCATGCAGGATTGATTTAGTAGTTTTTAATTTAGGTTTGGTGTTATTTAGGTATTTTATTATGTATAATCTGGCTGTCCACTGCTCTTCAAAAACTAAAGCTTTGCTTGAATAATCATATTTTCTTTTAATTTCTGTGTTTCAGTAAAACTGTAACCTACTTTTTTGTGTATCTACTTAATTACATGAATTTGATTTTCAGCTTTTTACATTCTGACTAAAACGTATTCACTACAAAAAGGACATTTTATGCATCCTTATAATATATGGGTCTCAAATTTGTTGGCGCGTCAATGGAAAAAAGTAATAAACATCATAAATGAAACAGTTATGCTTAAATTCTTGGCTGTCATTCTTTATATAAGATGCAGATATTTTACTTAAATTACAATTTTGTTGTGAAATGTGATTATCTGGTTGGTTTTTACAATCAAAATGAATATTTAGAAAATATTCCAATAGTTCTTAATTATAGAATTGAAACGTATTTATTTTTGTGCTTTCCAGTTCTCCATGTGCTCACTAATGCCACGAAAATACTGGCTACTGGAAACCAGTAAGCTCATTTTAGATTGCAAATAGTTTTTCTTGCCTCCAGAAACAGATCTGATGTCATCATTAGAACGAGACGTGTTCCAGTTGGACTCGTGTTTGATGCCAGCAAAGTAGTTTCTCTTCTCTAATGTTTTATTTTTATCCTATTTTAATTATAAATGGAAACTTGATTGTAATATTTAAATTTGTATTTTTTAATTTATTTAACCCTTATATTACCTTTTAATTTTCTAACATTTCTGGTGTTTGAGCCCAAAAATTACACACACAAAACTTCCTATAAGAAATATAATATTGTATATGTCCCAATTTTTTTTACATGAATTTCATCCTTGGCTTCAGCCCTAATAAAATATAATAAAAATGTGTGTGTTTCTGAAATTTAACAACTTTGTTGCCAGGTTTATGATCAATACTAGATTTGTGAGAAAATGTAAAAATCAATTAATTTTTTGTGTTTTATGTTGAGATTACCTTTTTGGGGGATAAATCACAGTCTTGGAGTGTCACCAATAGGCATAAAAATATTTTTTGCTCACTTATAGAGTTTTTGTGTAATTTCATGTTTTCTAAAAAGTCACGATTTTAACCTTGGTGCGTAAAAAAATGCAGACACAATACTTCCTCATGTGATACTTAATAACTCCCTATTTTTTACTTGAATTTTGTCCTTGGCTGCAATCCTCACAAAATAAAATATTTGTATGTTCCTCAGATTTAACCTTTATCCCCCCCCCCCCCCCCCCCATCTTATAACCAGATATGTAAACAAATGAAAAAATATAAACATTTTTTGCGTGTTATGTCCAAAAGATTTGTTTTATAAATGGTCATAAAAAATATTTTCATTAATTTTTTTAATTAGAGTGCAGCATTAGTTATTTCCCCAGTATACGTAGGAAAAATGTGCAATCTAGTAGAAAACATAAAGAACTTCAAATTGAGTCAGCAACTGCCCTGGGAACCCAGACATAATGAGAGAGAGAGAGAGAGAGAGAGAGAGAGAGAGAGAGAGAGAGAGAGAGAGAGAGAGAGAGAGAGAGAGGGAGAGAGAGAGAGAGAGAGAGAGAGAGAGAGAGATACCGTAGATAGATATGTATGTATGTGTGCTAACTGCCCTGGGAACCCAGAGAGAGAGAGAGAGAGAGAGAGAGAGAGAGAGACAGACAGAGACAGACAGAGAGAGAGACAGACAGAGAGAGAGACAGACAGAGAGAGAGAGAGAGAGAGAGATACCGTAGATAGATATGTATGTATGTGTGCTAACATTTAGGTTTACTAGAAAAAATGATTTACATGGGAGTCAGTGGTGGAAGAAATGCAGTAAAGGAGGTAATGCTTCAAAATGATTTCAATGTTACATTAAATGGAGTAGGGGGATTTTTTTAAATTATTTTTGGTATTTCCCCCCAAAATACACATTCTCCCCCAAAAAAGATAAATTGCAGTAGCATAGCCAAAATTATTCCCCAAAATACACCTGTCTGTGCATAAAAATGGGGTTAAAATATTTAAATGTTGAACCAAAACAATGTTTTTCTAATGCTTGTGAGGTCTTACAGTTGTGCAATAAGCAGGGAAAACATAAATAAATTCACCCCAGGATAAAGGTTTGGATCTTTGGAAGATTTAGTACCAGATTGAATCAAAGAGCAACATAAAATGTGCTAATTAGTTTATTAATCAAATCTCAAGCACTAATGGTAAATTTATTATTGAACACCCAAATGCTCTCAGGAGAAATCTTACATCTGAGAGAAAAAAGAAAAGGACGCTGTGGTTTTCTAGTCTGGAAACACCCACATTGATCTATAATCATGTGGTTGTGGCTTTTCTAACTTTAGCCAAGAAATATGCCAGCAGAACATTCTGGCAGCAGGTCAACATCCATGAACAAGTGCAGCAAAAGTGGGTCGAGCATTGTTCAGAGCCGCTGTTGTAGGGAGAAATTTCTCTTGGAAAGGGACTCAGTTACATCAGTTCTCTGCACCGAGCTGCACTCTGCCTCCTCAGCAAGTCTGGGAGAAAAGCTTACTTAGCCTGAAAACTGAGAAACCCTTGCAGTGTTGGAAGAACACTTTTGGCTACGTTGCAGCAGAGGAAGCAACATTTTGTGGACACTTAGAATTTAAGTGTCTCTCTATCATTTAATAAAATGTAAAGTAGTGCCAATAAAGTCAGAGGGCAGGTATGGATGTGGATCCTCCGCTGATTTATGCTCCTGGATCGCCCACAATGCAGCTCAGTTTCTATAATCATGATTAATCATTTTCCTCATCTTCACCAAAGCCAAAGTACCCTGGGAGACCCATCATGGTCAGAACGCTGCTCCTCATTAGATGAGATTCAGGGTCGAGCATTAATAACAGGATGTTGGCATTTGTTCTATCCACCAGTAGAGGGAGCACCACTGTGACATAACGAGAACCAGTGATTTGTGTTTTTATTTTATTTTATTGTTGCATGCTTAACTTTAGTTTATTGCCACAAAATACTCCATTAAATCTCTTTCCTGGGGAATTAAAAAGTTATTTTTCTATGTAATTGTTTTAAAAATTTAAATCAAAATCTTCGTAAGAAGTAACAAAATAAAATTAAATTCAACAAATTAAATTTCCAATCACAAAGTACTAAAACATGTTTTAAGAACAAATGTATCTTGCAGAAAACCGTTCGTTTCGACTGTTTTCTGATTATAAATGCTGCTGAAGGCCCATTTCTGTCCACGCCAAGGTGGCTCCTGACCTAAGCTGAATGGACAAAGTGATGGTTTTAATCAGCTCCGAGTTGCTTTTCCGTGAACATTATTTGGCCACATAGCGCTGCATTGAAACGAGGCCGTCAGGTGACCTCAGGAACGCTGAAAAACATCTCGTGTCAGGGGAAAGGTTCGCCCGTTTTGCAAGAACTCATTGTACTTCCACCTCAGCGTAACCCGTCAGCTCCTAAATCTGATCTAATGGAATCATTTTTGATTTGGAGAAACTGCTTACGCGTTTTAATCAGGTGGTGCACATGCTCAGAGGACCTGTGGGAGGGGTGCATGGCTTTTTCAGTTTGAGAGTTTGAACCAAGAGGAACGTCTTCAAAGAAAACCTGATAATGACTTTGGTGTTTGGCCGTTAATGCCTCCAAACATTGAGTGTTTTTATCTGTTCCATGATGTTAGCGACCAGCCACGGCATACAACAGAATTTGTAACTCAGAAGTTTTTCTTTGGTTCAGACAACATGGCTTCCACACCGTACCCATATCCAGAATACTGACAGCCCTGATCATTGTTCCCACTGTGTGGCTCTTCATCCCAGAGAAACTGGTACCACCTCTGGATTGGATCTTCATCTGGCTTCTTTTCTGCTCAGTAGTTCAGTTTAATTCACTTTAGTTTTCTTTTCTTTTATTAAACCATAAAAGTCTAACTTCCATATCTGCACATGCCCCTCATGTCCCCTACATGACATCCTACGCTTGTTACATACCAAGCTCCAGGCAGGATTCAACCTGCGTTTGTGGCATTTCCTGTTGACTTTGTATCAGACAGAAATTCTCCTGGTCGTGTTGTTGGTGTCAAACCACTAGTCCTGTTCTGATTCAGAAACCAAGCATTTCTCCTGAATGCTCCATATCTTTTGTGTTTCAGGAACAAAGAAAACGATACTTAAATGGTAAATGGTCTGCATTTGATATGGCACCTTCTAGAGTCCTGGAACACCCCAAAGCACTTTACAACACAATCAGTCATTCACCCATTCACACACTGATGGTGATGAGCTACGATGTAGCTACAGCTGCCCTGGGGCGCATTGACAGAGGCGAGGCTGCCGAGCACTGGCGCCACCGGTCCCTCCGACCACCACCAGCAGGCAACGTGGGTGAAGTGTCTTGCTCAAGGACACAATGACAGCGACAGACTGAGCGGGGCTCGAACCTGCAACCTTCCGATTATGGGGCGAGCGCTTAACTCCTGTGCCACCGTCGCCCACGTCCTTACTGAAGGATTCGTTGTGTTTTGATTGTTCATAAACAGAATTCCATTCAAATCACTGTTTGCTCATTGAAAATTCTAGAATATTGACTCTTGCACTGCACACAGTTTCCTCTTGGTCCCTCTGAGCGTTTTAATGTAAGTTTGAAAAGAGAAAGTAAAAATTCCAAAAGTGGTTTTAAACAACTGATGTTAGTACATTGCAGTTTTGACGTGGTTTTAGCACCCCCTAGTGTCCATTAGTAAAAGCAAAAGTGAAACTCCTTCTCGATGTGCGTTTGTCTTTTTAAATTCATACTACGCAACTTTTTCGTAGTTTGCAAATCTTTTTTTTAGCCAGTTTGTGCTAAAATAACCATTTACAGGGTAATGAAATGTCACTCTGACTCCCACCGCCCCCTGTAGCCAGAATATTGCACTTGCAACTTCAGAGTGGCAGGCCGTCCACTATTGGACTCAATAAAGTGGAGCTAACAAGCCTGGCGCAGGAGTCTGCTTCCAGCACATTTCCTGCATGTTTTAGATCTTGAACACAGCTTATTTGATTGGTTTAGTGATGAATCGCTCCTGTAGACACTAATGAAAGCTAAGGAGACATTTTAGTATTGTCAGCAATTAGATCGCACAGCGAGAAGATATATTTCACTTTTGTTTTTATTAAACAAACACTAGGGTGAGCCAAAACTGCTTAGTATCCCTTTAACACTTTGATATAACTGCTGAAATGTCTCATCAGCCTTCATCAGTGTCTACAGGAGTGATTCATCACTAACTCAAACAAATCAGCTGTGTTCATGATCTACAACATGCAGGAAGTGCACTCCAGTGCTGGCATATCAGATCCACTTTACTAGGACTAACAGGAACTGGACTGGCTACTCTGAAGCTGCAAGTGCGATGTTCTGGTCACAGACGGCGGTGGGGATCTGTGACTTAACCCTATAAAGGGTCATTTTAGCACATATTGGCTCAAGAAACAGATTTACAGTTTTTCTCAGTTGCTTTGGTGCATTTCTCACAACAGAATTAAACTTTGCACAACAGTTAGTTCAACCTCCACAACATGTAGTCGTTTTGGCACAACCTAGTGGCGGTTTGCCTTTGGACATGAAGCAGTTGAGTAAGTACAAATGTCTAAAGAATGGTCACTTTTGACATGCTATTCAGGAGTACCATGGTTGGTGGTATTATTATAACTGTTTAGTCAGTGTTTTGCCCCCTGTTTTGGTAGTTTTCTGGCCATTGTTTTGTTTTCTTTTGGAGTGAGAACACCGGACCCAGATACAAGATGGCTGCCTCCATGCTGTTGTCCAGTATGCATGGAAACCACAATGAGCACCGGCAGCCTCATCACTAGTGGATCCCGCCACGGTTCTCCAGGTGGAAGCAATTGGACTAATTGTTTTCCCTGGATCTGGAAAGGATAAAAGGCTGGAGGAACTTTCACTCTAGGAGCTACTTGTAACCAAGTAGACTCCCTTTGGGCTGGTTTCAGGGTTTGGAAGTTTGAACATCTCGAAAGAAAAATAATGTCTTAGCGTTTCATATGTCTCTCTTTAGGTTTGGTAATCACTCATAGTAAAAGGACCACAGTGGCCACTGTTTGAATGTGAGAGTCTTTTGTGGTTAAGTTGCTGTATTATTATAAGGTGAAAGCCTCTTTAGGTTTTGGAAATAATCCCGAGTCTTTTAGTTAATCCATACCCCATCTTTCTTCCTTTTCTTCCTGTTGGACACTTAGGTCTGATAGGTTTTCTTTTGTTGCTGCCAGTTAAAAGAACTGAGCCTTAGCCTCTTGATTTCATTTTGTACTAACACTGGACTCTCTGGAAGCAAGAGTTTCATGGGCTATGTTCGTTTTATTGTTGTTTGGATTTCCAGCCCTTGGTTTTATGTTATCTAATGTTTTAATTTGTTTTCTTTACACAAGTTCCTTCTTGTCTCCCTGGGATCCCCTGCCTGAAGAAGGTAAAGTGTAAGAAGCGTCCAGGAGGGGGCAGAGCACTTCTCGGCTAGTAGAAGCTAACTATTAGCTTTAGCAACTCCACAACATGGAGGAGCTCATTCAGGCTTGTGTTATTTGTGGAGATAAAACCTCAGCATTGCAGAGCAAACAAATTCAGTGGTATAGTTGCGTTGCCAATCAGAGATGAGGTGTCCAACTATCAGGAAATAAGACTCCAAAAGTTGTCGTCTTCTGCTCTACTCTGGCTCTCTTCTACTCCTGAAACAGGAGCCTCAGAGCTTTATATTTTCCCTCAGAGATTGACTCACAAGGCATTCATTTAAACTAGAAACCACAAAATTGTGTAGAAAATACAAGTGAACTTTGTCTTTAAAAAGCAGTTAGATCTGCCTCTCTGAGGCTATTTTTAATACATAATTTCCTTAACACTAGTCACCAGATCTCAATCCAGTCCAGACCCTTTAGAATGTGGTGCAATGAGAGTTCCAACACCTTGTTTTCCATGACATGAAGAGTTAAGGTGGTTCTGAAGGTAAAAGAGTGTCCAACCCTGTACTAGTCAGTCATACCCAATAACATGGTGGGTGAATGTAGATAACCTGCACCTACATGGTGTGCTGTCTCTCTAACCTCAGAATCCAGGATTAAATTAACAATAAAACTCAAACATACCTGTGGCTAAAAGTTAAGCTGCTCTGCTTGCAGATGAATTGAGAAACAGGTATTCAGCATGCACCAACAAGTCTGTTCACCTGCTGTCATTTTAGTCTCAACATCAGAGGCACAAAAGCAAAGCAGGTGCCTCCGTCATGTTCACGGTTTTACAGTCTGCATTAACTAAGTTCACATGATCTCAGTGAGTGTTTACACTCTGTGTGTGTTGAAAGTGTTTGAACGATGCTGCTCAGAAACTGCTCTGAACAGGTTTGAGTCAAATAGCTGACGTCATGTGTTTGGAATTGAAAGGAAAATTGAAAATAAAACATTTTGATTATTTTTAATATCATAAAGGTTACTGCAGATAACAGCATATTATTTTCCTAATTCAAGTTTTTTCTAGACGCTCATTCATCTTCTTAATCGCTTCATCCTCACAGGGTCTCAGGGAGCTGATTCTCCAGTAGTCACCAAGTGAGAGGCGGGGCTACACCTGGACAGGTCCCCAGTCCATCACAAGGAAACTAGAAACAATCAGTTATTCACACTCTCACTCGCAGCTTGGGGCATTTAGAGTTTCCAGTTAAACTACATGCTTGTTTTTGGTCTGTGAGAGGAAACAGGAGTACTCAGAGAAAACCAATGCATGCATGGGGAGAACATGTTAACGCCATGAAGAAAAGCCACAGCAGGGTTTTAAACCTGCAACCTTCTCACTGGCAACAGAGCTACTAATTATGCCGCCCCTTTACACATTCATTCATTTCTTTTTTCCCCTTTATTTTCTAATGATTAAGTAAAAATTAAACACTAGAGGGGGCAGATTATTTTTCTAAACCATCGGCCACATGGGCGGATGGAAATGCAGACTGACTAAACCAGTGGTACTCCTGGAAGGCTGGTAGCATGTTTTAGTTTTAACCCTCATGCAACACACCTGATTTCATTCAGCAGTTGAGCTTCTGCAGTCTGATGAGCTGCTGCACAGGTGATTCTACCACTGAATTAAGTTGGAGCAGAGAAACCACTAAAATGTGGTGGATACCGGACCTCCTGGCACAGAAATAGGCACCCCCACTCCAAACATTCCAGTCAAGGAAAAAAGATACACACACACATACACACACACACACACACACATACACACACACACACACACACACACACACACACACACACACACACACACACACACACACACACACACACACACACACACACACACACACACACACCTAGTGGCCAGTAGATTTATTACATTTGACAAAAATGTAAGTGTACCGTATGTTCCGACCCCCAACACCCATCCCCAGAGTACCCCCGGATGTCCCAAACTCAGACCCCACCTGGTTTAATCCTGAATCAGTTTTGAGTCTGAATGAATCCTGGTTTAGTCCCGGTGTCCTGATGTCGCCCTGTTTGATTCTGCCTTGTTGCTAAAAGGTCAGGTAGATGATTTTTTTTCTGGAGCATCCAGTAAATTAAATGTTTTGTCAAACAAAATTGCTTTGGGGTCTGATCGATGTACAGTGGTCCTGGCTGGCTCATGACAAGTGTGCTCTATGTCATAAACAATTCTGCAGACTGAATTTTTCAGTAGTTTGAAGTGAAGTAAGCAGCGCGTGTGCTGTGATTTGTAGAATGAGCTTCACCAGCGGGCCCAACACGAAGCTCCACCTCTTAACAACAACCCCACACCAGAGAGAAACCTCATGAGGTTATATTTATATTGCCAGGGAGGATTATACCATGAGAGTTTAACTAATTTACTGTAATAAAAAACAGTTTTGTCTCCATCTAGTGGTCACTAGTGAAACATTCAGTCCATCACAAAATTAACAAAATTGAACTAAACATTAAAAGAAAAAAATCTGTACTTTTTAAGATTTCTACGTTTATTTTGAAGTAAATGATTTAATTATGGGACCTGCTGCTATGTCAGCAGGGCCCTTTTTGTCATGCACCTGGGTGGGTTTCGGACACTAATGCGGCTCTAACGGCTGCGTGCACACCAACAAATTATACATCAAAACGACCGGCTCGATCATAGGAGGTGTGCAGTTACTTTTATAAGCAATCTGAGTCACCATGGCAAAAATATTAGAAAAAAACTTCAAGTGCTTTTCTTTTTGTGTTGTGTCACTCAAAATTTGCATAATGAATCAATTAAATATGTACACAATTAATTTATTATTTCGATGGCAGGCCCACTAAAGAGGCATTTTTACATACGCATAAACACTACCTTGCACCCCCACACATTAACATCAAAATGAGCGTCTTGGCCGTTTAAGTGACTCTAAGCAATCTGGTTTAACGTAGCAAAATTACTAGCAAAAACTTTGGAAAAATGTTTCATTTTGAGTGTGTGCCAATTTTAATTTGCATAATTAATCTATTTTAAAAAATTCAGAAATGTTCTAGTTATATACGTGTTATTACAAGAAATGAATGGAAATGAAAGTTGTTCAATAAAACATTCTCTGAAAACGAGTAAAAACTGAGTGCTTTGGGTGGAATTCTGTTCCTGTGGATTTTACATAAAAATCACCTTTTATAACAACTTACGTGACTGTTCATTTTGAAAGAAAGCCACCCTGAAGCATTATTTTAATTACCCACTGTAAATGTGAATAAAACTAAAATAAATAAAAAAAATGTGATAAGGACTTTGTTTGCCATGAAACACAAGAAATATTCAACAAACACTATTTATTACACATTTGATGATACGTTTTCATGGTCGTCATCATCAGGTGGGAACAGTAGAAGAACATTAGCTCTGCTTGTTGTTTGTTATATAAAAAACAACCTGAATGATTTCTGAAGTTCTTCAATGCAGTTCTTTAAGTCCACGTTTGACTTTCTGAAGGACTTTAGCATGACGTTTAGATAAGAGGCCAACGTGTGGATTTGCTGATGATGTTTCCTGATTCCTGCACCTGTAGCTCAGGTGAGTTGGCTTTTTTTCACCAGGACTAGTTCTGATGACTTCCTTGACGCAGGCTGTTGAATCTCTACTTCTTTGCCACTCTGCAGACACAGTTTATGCAGACAGTGACATCGTGACAACAGAGCACATGAGTGTTGTAGAGCGAGTTTAACTGGTTTTATTTGGATACCTGCTGTCTCGCCCTGTTACACAGAGATTTGATGCTGAGAACGGCGAGACTGATGCAGACACACAACTGAAGGACGGACATGACGATCAGAGTGATGTCCATACCTGTCAACAGTCTCTGAAATTAAAAACAATTTAAGTCAATCTAAAAGTATTTGGTGCTGTGAACACACAAAAACTCAAAAATAAAACTGATCTTATTTATTATTCATTTCCATTATGACAATCTTGGCAACAGTTTGGTGGGTGTTAAGATCCCACAGTCAGTGCTCATAGATGGGGCTCAATAAGTTCCAAAAATGAAAAAGAAGAACAATGTGATACTTGCTCTAAAGGATATTAAATAAATGTGCAGATGGCTTGCCATAAGGACATTGACATGTTCCAGCATCACCATAAACTAGTCTAAAATTAACAGATTTGGCATTGGAGTTCAGACAAAGGAAAGTTTTAAGAAACTGAGGACGATGCTGATGTTCTACCTTCGCTAAACCAGCCAGGAACGCGCAGTTGTCTGATTTCCGACTGTCGCTTTGGCTGCACATCCAGATAACCGTGAAACTAGCCAGATGGATGGCATAGAGCACAATGCCAACAATGGAAGAGATGGATACGACAATGTTTACAATTGCAGAAAAGCCCACCTGAGGAGAAAGCTTTAATCATTGTTTGTGACAGCGTGGCACCACAGGATGAGTTTTAGCTTTTAATGATTTTTTTTTACCAGGCAGGGTAAAGAAACTGCTTCAGCGAGGATTGACACGACTCCTGCTGCGATGAACTGAAAGAACAACAAACTGCTCAATCCGATGAAACTTTTCATTATTTCCATGAAGCAAGTTGTCAAGCATCCATCGCTGTTTCATCACAATTGTGCTTTTTATAAATTTATCACAACAGGATAGCAATGCAGGAAATACAGAATAACCAGGGCCTGGATTACACACAGGGTCCTGGGAGAACCCCATGAGAATGCCACCTGGGGTGGGGTGTTGGGGGTGTATTCCCGCTGAACCTCTTCCATCACACTGTGAGATCATTTTTCAGCCTTCACTTGAGTGTGTCAGTTGAGGGCTTCCACAGGTGCATACCACACTTTCAGAGTTCAAATTACCAGCTCCCCCATAATTTGAACTCTGAGAATAACCATGAGTCATGGTGACGCATCCAGAACTGTTGTTACTCTACAGACTTCTCAGTGTTAACATGCTTCTTTTTGCTGACACTTGTTGCCATGGCGATGCATTCAGTGATGATGTTTCACAAGCTACAGAATTTCCATGAAGAAAAAAAATCATACTGAGGCTTTGGAGATAACAAAAACTCATGCAAATAAGTTTAGAGTGGAACAGTGTTACCAGAGCTCCCAGCCAGTAAGGATATGTTCCAGTTCGTTCTGGACCGAGACCAACGTTGAACACACCAACCAGGATCTGCACCGTCTGTTGAAGATCAAAACAATAAAATCACTTTGTGGTTTATTTTTTGTTTAAAAAAAGCAGTATTTTTAATTTTCTCACCCCAAGAGCTCCGGCCACACTGCTCTGCATCATTTGTTCTCCAACCAGCAGGTCGGCAACACTTTGAGGATGTGACGCCGTGAGAGCAGCAGCCTCCTGAGTTTCTATGGAAATAACTGTGACTCTGTTCTCTTTAAATGCAGAGATGGACATAAAACTTAAACTTTAGCAGCAATCGTGGGAAACAAACAAATAACAAACAAAATAAAAGAAAGAATCTGCTATCAAGGATATTCTTGTCTACACCTGTTTCAGCCCTTGTTCAGGTCAACCTTGTGACCTTTCAGTCAGGACTAATGGGATTTCTGTGTGTGTGTGTGTGTGTGTGTGTGTGTGTGTGTGTGTGTGTGTGTGTGTGTGTGTGTGTGTGTGTGTGTGTGTGTGTGTGTGTGCGTGCGTGCGTGCGTGCGTGCGTGCGCGTGTGTGGTGGTTGAGGGTGGGGTGGGTGGCAGGTGTCTGGTTGAAAACTCCAATAAACATTAATAAACATTAAAGAAAAAGACTCATCATGGTGTCAACAGCAAATGAGATTTAATCGTTGAAAATGAATTACCCAAATATTTTATGTTTCCATTTTTCCTTTATAGGCACAGCCAAGGTGTGGAGGGCATCCGTTTTGGTGGCCTGAGGATCAGGTCTCTGCTTTCTGCAGATGATGTGGTCCTGTTGGCTTCATCAGAACGTGATCTTCAGCTTTCGCTGGAACGTTTGCAGCCGAGTGTGAAGCAGCTGGGATGAGAATCAGCTCCTCTAAATCTGAGACCATGGACTTGATTCAAAAAAGGATAGAATACCTTCTCTGGGTCAGGGATGAGGTCCTGCCCCAAGAGGAGGAGTTTAAGTATCTCAGGATCTTGTTCATGGGTGAGGGAAAACTGGAGAGTGAGATCGATAGGCGGATTGGTGCTGCATCTGCAGTGATGCGGGCGTGGTGAAGAGAGAGCTGAGTCAGAAGGCGAAGCTCTCGATTTACCGGTCAATCTACGTTCCTACCCTCACCTATGGTCATGAGCTTTGGGTAGTGACCGAAAGAACGAGATTGCAGATACAAGCGGCCGAAATGAGTTTTCTCCTAAGAGTGGCTGGGCTCTCCCTTAGAGATAGGGTGAGAAGCTCGGTCATTCGGGAGGGGCTCGGAGTAGACCAGCTACTCCTCCGCATCGAGAGGAGCCAGTTGAGGTGGCTCGGGCATCTGGTCAGGATGCCTCCTGGACGTCTCCCTGGTGAGGTTTTCTGGGCACGTCCAACCCGGAGGAGACCTAAAGGTAGACCCAGGACACGGTGGAGGGACTACGTCTCTCACCGGGCCAGGGAACGCCTTGGGATTCCCCCGGAGGAGCTGGCCCAAGTGGCTGGGGAGAGGGAAGTCTGGGCCTCTTGCCTTAGGCTACAGCCCCCGTGACCCAACTCCAGATAAGCGGATGAAAATGGATGGATTTTTCATTTAAGATATTTGTTAAATTTTAATATTATTTGTTAGTTATTTTTCTTTTTACTTTTTTCCAAAACTGAACATGTTGGAATGGAATTTTTATCACGTGTATTTCTCTATTATATATGATTGTGATCCAGGCTTTAAAATATTATCTCGTTTTAGCAAAGTAATATTCTAAAATAAAAATGACAGCATAAAGTCAGATAATATTCCAAAGATTATTTGATTCACTGAAGAGAAATTTGTTCCAGATCTATTTATTTATTTATGTATTTATTCATTCATTTTTGTTGCATTAAATTAATATTTTAACTAACCATTATAAAAATTCTTTAGTTTGCTGACCTCAAAGTATGGGTTAGTTCCTCTACTTAAACAGACAATAGCAAAATGTTCTGTTTTTTTTTTTCTAGGAATAACCTAGTGATCGTTTTTACAGTGTTTTACAGGCTGGTCCTCCTCTTTGTGTAGCTTCTGTGTCTCTTCTCCTCACTCATCCTCTTCTGCTTCTACATTTATTTATTTATTTATTGTTTGAATGCTGTAAAGCTTTGAAACCATTTTCAATTGGTCCCATTGAAATGAATGGAATTGCTCAATTTTCAGCTAAGTCCTATCAGTTTTTGAACTCTTATTCTTACAGTTTAACTTTAACCTAGAGACTTCATTCAAGTTTCAACAACCTCTCAAGACGTTCAGCTATTACTGGTTAAAAAATTATTTTGATATCTATTACAGCTTTTCTAAAATCCCAGGTAGAAGTTGAGGTATGGCTTGAGATTTTCAGAAAATTTCACAAAAATTATAATGGGAAAAGATAGGAGCGGTGACCCTCCCTTGCTCCATTTCTTGCATTGTCCCGAGAGAACCGTAGGTCTGATTGAAATGAGATGCATGTTGGCTTACAGCTTACGAATATACTTTCGTTTTGAGCTATAATTCATGACTGTACTCCAAACATTGTGGTCGTACGGTTCATTTCTTTGAGAATATTTAAATTTAATAAAATGCTTCCCACCACTGTAAACTGAAAATTCTGCAATCTAACGTTTGACCTTCACATTTTCTGGAAACAACTCTTTCCAACACCCAGACCGTTTAGAGTACCGAAACAAATTATATCTCAAAAAGTAGGATTTTTTGTCAGCTTATCAGAATGGGTTTCATTTTGTCCTTAAGTGTTACATTTCTTTCTCTACAAGCCTCAGAAAGAGGACAGACCCTGAAACCCATGTTAAAAGAACAGAGATTTTCTCCTCCGATCGGCTTCAGACAGCTAAAATGTTCTCGTCATTGCTTCTAGACAATTCATGGTAGGCATATAAAAATTCACACAGATGACCATTGTTGGGTAATTTTATCAATCCAGGATTACCTCAGGGAAAGTTCAAAGCACAGGGGGTTATGGTAATTAATTTATCCTTTTACTCATCAACCAACAAAGCCTTCTGCCACTCACTCTTTTTGAATTTTTCAATTTGGTGCAGTACTTTTCGAATGGTGATGAGAAGTTTGACAGGTCCAATTTCACTTCCAAAGGACAGATTTAAAGGCTTCTCTCATTAACAGGAGTACTGCTGCAGGCCTCCTACAGCCCGGGGAAAGGCGGGAAAACAGTGCTGCTCTCTGATTGGTTGAGAGTGTTCAACCATTTTCTGTCCAATCAGGATCACCCATACATATCATACATCAAATCAACCAGCTTGGTCTCAGGAATCTTGTATTCAATTTTAAATGTGTTATCTGTTACCCTGGTAACACAAGTGCATAAGGATATCCCCAAACAAGTCTCACTGAAATGAATGTGAAAAGCCTAATATTGAGCCTATAACATACTGCTGTTTCTCATCTTTCTGAGCTCTATACACTTAAAACTAGCAGCATAGCTGACATTTTAACACTAGTCAGAAGGCAGGACCCCCCCCCTCCCTCCTTCGCTGCTCTCTCATTGGCTGAGAGTTTTCAATTGTCTTCTGCCTAAAAGGAAATATGCACCCACACATATGATACATCAATTCAACCTGCTTGGTCCCAGGAGTCTTGTATTAACTTGATATTGCGTTCTGCGTTACCATGGCAACGTGCTTAACAACAACATTTAACAACATTTTAGACACAACTGTATCAACATACTTTTAAAGAGCAAGTCACCCCCTACCAGAGTCTAACTCCACTCCCACTTCATGTTTGAAAAATGCAACAAATGTCGTTGCCTAGCAGACCGAGAGGGCGGAGCCGCTAACAAATACACACACACACAGGTTCACGACAGCATTGTGACATCATAATGTACCAGTTTACATCATAGCATACCTCTTAGCCAATAGCGGTGGCCGTTTTAAATTCAAATACAGTGCAGAGTTTTTACCTGGCAACGGCACAACACTGACAGTTTTAAGCAGAATACCGGTATTTAAATTTTAACTAAGATGCACTGAAGTGCCAAATTATTGACTACACATGTCTGCAGCACGATTAGACACTCGTTTATTTAGTTTATCAGCAAAAAAAAAAAAGTTGATTTGGGGGTGACTTGCTCTTTAATCTAGAAATGTTATTCAAAGTTTAAAAGAGTCATGTGACATTGTACATTGCTTTATTAAAGCAGACTCCTGCCATCTGTTAACATGATACCACTGATAAATTAACATATGTTCAGACTTGATATAGGATGGATGAATGGTTGGATGAATGAAATGACGGATGGATTGTTGGATGGATGTTAGATGGTTTATTGGATGGATGGATGGATGGATGGATGGATGGATGGAAGTGAGAATGTGTTGCTCAAAAAGTAGGAATTTTTGTCAGCTTTTCAGAATGGGTTTCATTTTTTCCTTAATCTATCAGTTTCAGATATCAGTAAATGTTTCTACATTCACGGTTCAGCCAATTGTAAAAATGTACCTATTAAACTATTCTCATTCAAATGCCAACTTTTGAGTTTTTAATCAATGTTCAAAGATTTAAGTTTTCTGCTGTTTAGCATTTTATGTCCATTCTTCACCTATATTCTGAGCTTTATTACACTCGCTGGAGATTTTTGCTTCTAAATCTTTAAATACATTCAGCTCATTTTGACAGTTTAGCTTAGTTTCAGCTTCACTTCAGCTACTCAGCAGCTTCAGCAATCGGTTTCCAAATTTAGCATATGCTGCTAATTTCACACTTCAGCTAAATGTAAATACTAAACTGTTAAACTTGTCCTACTGAAATAACATGTGTTTAGACATTTTAGCTGTCCAGATTTTTATACAATGTTCACGGATTTCAGTTTTCTGCTGTTTAGGATTAGTTTTCTCTATTATTCACTTACTTTTTGTGCTTTACTTGGTTGGTGCTTTTTGCTTCTACATCTTTCAATGCATTCAGCTCATTTGGACAGTTTTGCTTAGTTTCAGCTTCAGTTCAGCTATTAAGCTGATTCAGCTAACAGTTTAAGCTATCCAGCATTCAAACAGCATTTCTGCAAGAAATGCAATTTATCTATCTAGTTTATTTATTTATTTCATTTAAAACTAAATCCACGTGTGTTTTATCTCCTGCTAGATTAAAATTGTATGGATGAAACTTTTTAAAATATATTTGCGTTATTTGAGTTATAAAACTGCACTTTGTTATGCAAATCTTACATGAATATAAAGTTTTATTAATTGTTTGGAAATATTTATGCCATTCTATAAAAACTGTAAAAGTTAAAAAGTAGGAAAGGCTTTTCCATTTGAGATTTAATCCAAGAATACATAACCTCAACTTAGATTCTACAGCATGTGAAAATAGTAAATAGATAATACAGAGGGCTTAAAATGTTTTATATGGATTTCTGTTGAAACATAATCTGATTTAGAGAAGATCCTACTTTAAATTAAACAAGCATGACTTTTATATTGATAATATTATAATATTATGATAGGATAAATAAATAAAACTTGGGGTTGATTAGCATCTGCTTCCTTCTGTTGGCTTTTAGAAATAAATTGATCAATAACTGTTGTATATTTGTTTTGTACAGTTTTTGTTTTTAATAAATGGAGTTCAGATTTGTTAGACTAAATCTTTGTATTTCTTCAGTTTTGTGTTTAGTTTTTTTTTCGCTTGTAAAAATTTAGAAGTAAATCTATTGAAATATTCTCATTACACAACAACAAATAAACAAAAAACACTTAAAAAATAAAACAGAAATGAAAGGATTTATCTGACTTAGTTTTTTTCATTATTAACAGGTGTAAGACTTACCTGGCGTTGCTTCCATCTGCCATCTGTAACTCTCACCAGCCGCCCTTTCAGGTAGCAGAAACAAAACTGATACTTCCTGTTGCTGTTTTTTCAAATTAAAAGCACTATTTTTAGCATCACAAGTTGTAGATGAGTTTAAATTTACTTCAAATATTTTGCTGTTATTTCAAATTAAAGGCACTATTTTTAGCATCACAAGTTGTAGATGAGTTTAAATTTACTTCAAATATTTCTCATTTATTTTTATTTAATGGTGAGATAATTGATCCTCTCACTTTTCAGCGCCAGAATGTCTCCCTGACATTTACCATTTTTGGTTGAAGTAGTTTTATTTTTAGTAATAAAGTCCATTAACAGGCAAGTGTGAAAACAGGAGTTCAATGTCTGTTTGGTCCAAGATTTAACATTGTGGAGTGACTGATTTGGGTTCAAATAGATGTTTGTGAAGGAATGTGTTAACGTCTCAACAGCAGCCAAACTAAACAGTGATAAAAAAATAAAGCAGTCCTATCAAAACCAAACAGGTAAGCTATCTGACATTCCTTAGTCTGACGTGGACTGCTTTGCATTCTCCTTGATAAGGAATTTTATTCTTTCCATCTTTAATCTGCAAATACAATTTCACAGGTGTTGCTAATACCTATGATCCTTCAAGGGATGTGCTCAAAGAGGAGTTCAACATTATGAATACAATATAGTGTTTTATTTTACAAATACCATTATAAACACAAACTTACGTCTTAAGAAACATTATTTTAATAACGAAACTGCTAAATTCTTTCCACAACACATTCTCGCTCCCAGCGCGTCAAAAACAAACGCTTGGTCAGCCACCCTCCACGTCAGACCCCTGACGCCAAAAGTGCCCTTTTTCGTTACTTATGTGCGAAAAGGGTTTTTCCCTTATTTGACTGCAGATCCCAATGCAGCTTTACACTGACATGATGGGATGTCCGCTACCGTTGCATCCCAATGCAGCGTTACAATGACGCGATGGGATGTCCGCAGCCAGGGCACCAAACAAGCTCATTGTACCTCACCTTAACCTTCTCCTCTTATTTAACCTTCCCCTCACCCCTATCCTAACCTTAACCATCTTGCTAGCGAACACGTTAGTGATGTGCCGATCGCTCTAAAAGCCGGCTCTATGAAGGGAACGGCGGGAGCCGCCTCGTCATTGGTCGAGTTTGGACCGAGCCAACGCGAGGGGGAGGTTTCAACTACCACGGTGGAGGTTAAAAGTAGAGGGTATGTGTAACCTCCCCCTCGCCAGATGGTATGTTCTAACGTTCCCCTTGGGCGGCAAATATGAAAATTGACAGTCAGACTCTGACTGTCAGAGTCAGAATGCATGGGAAACAAACGCTTGATCACAGTGAGAGTAATGTTTTAGGTAGCAAGAGGGTTAAGGTTAGGATGAGGGAGAGGGGAAGGTTATAAATAGTGAAACGTTAAGGTTTAGTTGCAGTTAAATGAGCTGGTTCGGTGCCGCATTTAAGGTTTAGGTGCGGTTAAACGAGCTGGTTCGGTGCCGCATCAGCGGATATCTAATCACGTCAGTTTTACGCTGCATTGGGATCTGCAGTTACAAAAGGGAAAATCCCCTTTTTGCACATAAGTAACAAAAAAGGGCACTTTTGGCGTCAGGGGTCTGACGTGGAGGGTGGCTGACCAAGCATTTGTTTCTGACGCTTAGGGTGTGAGAATGTGTTGCTTTCCAACAGTATAGATGTGTAGTGTATTTTGTCCGAGTGGGTTTGCCGTACTTTGACGTCATCGGCAGTCGAAGGACCCCGAGCCGATCTTGCACCCGAGCAGATCCTGTACCGACACCGGTTTTCTGCTCGACAGGTAAGCTAAAGTTTGGCAGGCCTTTTGGAGAAATTCATTTCAGATAACTGCTAGAAGAAGTGCTGCGATGTCGGCAGCAACTTACAAAAAGAGTGTGTATTTTTTTTAAACGTGGAGAGGGCGGTTCTTTCCAGTGTCGGTACAGGATCTGCTCGGGTGCAGGTCGGCTCGGGGTCCTTCGACTGTGGATGACGTCACAGCTTTCACACACACGTTTTGGAAAGACATCAGCAGTTTTGTTAATTAATTCTTGTTTGTTAACACCTGAATGTTTTCTTTATAATTGTAATTTGTTAATAAAACACCATATTGTCTTTGTTTTGTAAAGAATGTGAAACTGCATAAAACCAACATCGGACTGACAAAAAATAGAGCAGTTCTTATGTGTGAAGCCACATCTGTTTGTATTAATGTGGAGTTCATCTGTATATTTCCTTAGTTGTTATTTTACATTTCCTTTAGAAATTCAAACATATTTTCTCCAAAAAGTTGATTTTTAGACTACAGGACTACAAACGCTAAGACTACGACCGCTAATTTGTTCTGACCAATCAAAATCATAACGTGATAATGTAACTTCCGTAAGCTTCATGTTCAGCCAATCAACTACTTTGACATCATCGGCAGTCGAAGGACCCCGAGCCGATCCTGCACCCGAGCAGATCCTGTACCGACACTGGAAATTAAGAAACATCCTACGCCATTCCTTTAATGGATGCCAAATAACCGTTTCATAGTGCAAAAAACAATCCACAGAAAAATATTAATAATTCATAACTTCCTGCTTTAATGTGTTAATCTCATTCAAGGGAGGACTTGATACTCTTTTTTTGCTCATTTTAAATATATTTTAAATAATTTTCTAAATTCTTTTTTATATCTTTACATTTTTTGTTTTTGTGAAGCGCCTCGTGATTTTATCTTGACAGGCGCTATAGAAAAGATCTTCTTCTTCTTCTTCTTTTTCTTCTTCTTTTTCTTCTTCTTCTTCTTCTTCTTCTTCTTCTTCCTCTTCTTCTTCTTCTTCTTCTTCTTCTTCTTCTTCTTCTTCTTCTTCTTCTTCTTCTTCTTCTTCTTCTTCTTCTTCTTCATTAGGCGGCCCCCTCTTTGTGGCCCCCAGACCACCGGCGCCCCCCACCCCGTCCAGCCTTCCAGTTCATTGAAACATTTTTACCTGGTCATTCTTATTTGAGTACCCCTGTACTAGAGGGACCACTTCTGGCCTTCCCTATATTTCCCTCCTTACAGGTGTGTCCCACCTGTTAAAGGTTGACAATGGAACACAGACAATCTGGTGTTCAGAGGTGGTATTGCAACAACAGGACTACATTTCCAGCCGCTGGAATGTTGGTTCACTGCTGACATGTTTCCAGCACCATGTTCAGAGACCAATCGTGCAGGATAATGACTAATTTCTATTAATAAGTTAATCTCACAACAGTATTTACCATTAGATGATCTTCTGGGCTCAGAATCAGCTGCTTGAATTGTCAAGTCTGCCGTTTTACACAGTCCCAACCTTGCCTTGCTGAGAGAACTTTTTGTGCAATGGTGTCCTCTAGTGGAAGGTAGATGTACACAAAAACACAGTGTCGTGCCTCTCACTCCCAGCGCGTCAAAAACAAACGCGTGGTCGGCCACCCTCCACATCAGACCCCTGACGCCACAAGTGCCCTTTTTCGTTACTTATGTGCGAAAAGGGGTTTTTCCCTTATTTGACTGCAGATCCCAATGCAGCGTAAAACTGAAGCGATGGGATGGCCGCTACCTTTGCATCCCAATGCAGCGTAAAACTGAAGCGATGGGATGGCCGCTACCTTTGCATCCCAATGCAGCGTTACACTGGCACCAAACAAGCTCATTGTACCTCACCTTAACCTTATCCTCTTATTTAACCTTCCCCTCACCCCTATCCTAACCTTAACAATCTTGCCAGCGAACACGTTAGTGATGTGTCGATCGCTCTAAAAGCCGGCTCTATCAAGTGAACAGCGGGAGCCGCCTCGTGATTGGTCGAGTTTGGACCGAGCCAACGCCAGGGGGAGGTTTCAACCACCAAGGTGGAGGTTAAAAGTAGAGGGTATGTGTAGCCTCCCCCTCGCCAGATGGTATGTTCTAACGTTCCCCTTGGGCGGCAAATACGAAAATTCACAGTCAGACTCTGACTGTCAGAGTCAGAATGCAGGGGAAACAAACGCTTGATCGCAGTGAGAGTAACGTTTTAGGTAGCAAGAGGGTTAAGGTTAGGATGAGGGAGAGGGGAAGGTTATAAATAGTGAAACGTTAAGGTTTAGGTGCGGTTAAACGAGCTGGTTCGGTGCTGAATCGGTGAAATGAGGGTTAAGGTTAGGATGAGGGAGAGGGGAAGGTTATAAATAGTGAAACGTTAAGGTTTAGGTGCAGTTAAATGAGCTGGTTCGGTGCCGCATCAGCGGATATCTAATCACGTCAGTTTTACGCTGCATTGGGATCTTCAGCTACAAAAGGGGAAAATCCCTTTTCGCACATAAGTAACGAAAAAGGGCACTTTTGGCGTCTGGGGTGTGACGTGGAGGGTGGCTGACCAAGCGTTTGTTTCCGACGCTTAGGGTGTGAGAATGTGTTGCGTGCCTGACAGAATAAAAATTTTATTATTTATCTTTTAAAATGTTTTTTTTTATATTTTTCTAACACCTGAACACCCTGTGGATGTATTATTTTTTTAAATATAGCTCTTTATTCAAATATTCAATATTCTAACTTTAACAACCTATTTGTCTCCTTTTGTCTGGCCCTGGTTCGGGCTGCAGCGTCAGCTACTGTGCAGACCCGTCTCTTCTCTTCTCGTTCATTTTGAATGTGACCTTCTGACTAACAACACCTGGCTGCTGTTTGCTTGTTTGTTACTATGGTGACACAGCAGGAATTACAAACTCACCTTTAGATCAGGAAATAAAAAGCAGACCTTTGTTTTTTTCCTTTTCAAACTCACTCTGTCCTACATTAGAGCTTCACTTTCACCATTAAAACTTTTAAAGGTCTAGTTCAGAAACTGCTCAATACTTATTCTATTTTAAATACAAGTGCCACTTATTTTCTTCAACCCCATATTGCCTTCATTAGCTGCAAAAAGACAGTAGACAGGGAAATGATCGGCCAGACTACGTCACATGCAAAATTAACATTCATAGCCCCGCCCACTTAGCATGTGACCACCCACAGTGCATTTCTTTGCTATTCGAAGCCAACAAGGAAGAAGTAAAGTGTCACAATGCTGTTAGCCAATCAGAGGTGAGTTGTTTAGCATATCATAACCCCAGAGTTTTTTTCCCACAGAAAACAATTCACAAGACATTGATTTATACTGGAGATGCCAGCAGATTCTAACAGATCTAAATTTAAAGCGTAACATAAATAAAACAAAACCATTTTGACAAGAATCAGAGGAGACGGACTTCACAGCAACAGAGAACCTAAAAGTGAAATGAAACACAACTAGATCATAATCTAAATCTGATGATCGTAGATAGAAAGGAGGCAGAAAACAGACAGGACAATAAAAGGAGCCAGCTCTACAAAATAAAACAGGAAGTGAACAGAAAGTAAAACATTCTAAACATTGTATAAAATCTGAAGTTAGTAAATTCAACAAAAGTTGAAATCAATTAGAAATAAAAAGCAAAGCATGTCAATACTTAGAAAAATGTGAACATAAAAACTTGTTTCTATGTTTGTGAGGAGGAGCGTGTTCGCTGAAGGGTTAAACTTGTTTTCTCTTATGGTACTTCTGGGAACAGCCTGGCAGGAATTTCACTTCCTTGTTTGCAAACCAAAGATCTGTGTTATCATTGTTTGAGTGGTTCAGATCAAGGTAAGTCTTTTCGTTACCTTACACTTAGTCTCTGATTGTATTTGGTTACTAAAGTAAACCACATGAGTATGTTTGACAAATGTGGAAAACTGAAAACGGAGGAAAATGTTTGGTGTTTCACATGAACACAAGTGCTTAGTTCCTCATAAATAAAACAACTTGGCTCCATGATACCAATACAAGCCATTATTGTGGGCAGCGATCTGTGTTTAAAACCCATGGGTTTAATTACATTTAAAAATATAATGGAATCTTTAAATGGTATACATTTGACTCTGACTTTGTCCTGCCTCCTGATCAACGGACGAGTGGAAGACGGTACACATATGGAAAGGACTATCAAGCTGTTGCAGAAATATGGGGAAAAATGCCAACCATTATCACATTACCTGGTTAAAACTTACAGGGAGGGGACACATAAAGTAATACAAGTAATTATTGATAGTAATTTGCCATTAGAATGATAAATCTTCTTTTTTGGACTTATTGTGAAATATTAGTCAAATATAGATAAATATCTATATGCTTTCTTTGCCAGTCGATCTTTCCAATCACATCTATGGTCACGAGTTTTGGGTAGTGACCAAAAGAACAAGATTGCGGATAAAAGTGGCTGAATTTTTTTTCTCTGCAGGGTGGTTGGGCTCCCCCTTAGAGGTAGGGTGAGAAGCTCGGTCATCCGGGAGGGGCTCGGAGTAGACCCGCTGCTCCTCCACATCGAGAGAAGCCAGTTGGGGTGGCACCTAGTTAGGGTGCCTCCTGGACGCATCCCGGGGGGGGGGGGGGGGGGGGGGTTCCAGGCACATCCAACTGGGAAAAGACTCAAAGTAAGACCCAAGACACGCTGGAGGGACTATGTAGTGAAGATGTTCCAACATTTAATTAAAAACCATAAAATGTGAAATATCACAAAGTATGAAATATCACCTTAATGGATCTTTAAGTAAATTTAATCAGAAGATCGGATCTTTTTATTGCAGGAATTGAGCAACACTTCATATTAACTTCAAGAAAAGAGAGTGAGTCAAGTTTTAAAAGTTTAAAGATTTATTACAAAACAAATTAAAGCTAGACTAACTTTAACTCTAGGTGTATGGTGTAACTAAGGTGAGGTTAGACTGAGAATGGTGTATGTGTGAATATTTCAGAACCAGCAGATCCGGAGAAATGATTAGATCTGATGGGAGTGAAGATGATGTTTCGCACTAAGCTTTTGGTTTGGAGATTTATAGCACACATTGAGACGCCATTCTGCCCGCTTACATACCCTTTACGGAAGTCCCCATCAGATCAGGAATGTCGAGATCCAGCTTGAACTTCTCTGGAACCGAAGCCGGTAGGAAAAGCAGCGGTTGCCGACCAGACCAGTCTTGAGATACTTCTGGGTCACGACAGTTTTATTGGCATCTAGCGAGACCCAAAAAGGGGTCGATGGTTCAGCGTTTATTCTGAAAGGAACTGTTGCAGCAGGTGGAACAGCAACAGATTTTATCCAGCTTGTCGTCAGGTTCTTTTGGCTGAAGAGGAAAGTTACGAATTGGCCACTCCGACAACTTCTCTAGAAAGCTTTGAACTGGCTAAAGATGACGTGGGCATAGTTTTATAATTTGGATGTTTTGATTTACGGTCGAATCAAAAAGGGAACATTTACCAAGCACCACCAAAACCACGCCTCGCATCAGACCTGGAAGGTTCTGAATGGATCAGTAAAAGCAATGTGTCATGTGACTTCTACATTACGTGTGATCAGTCTCTAGAGGAAACATTTAAAGTTATATTACTTATTAAATTCCATAGCAGCGGTTCCCAAACTTATTTAGCCGGGCACCCCCTTCTATGTCCCGACCATGTCGACACACCCCCCAGCTCCCACATCAGGGCATGGCGATATATATATATATATATATATATATATATATATATATATATATATATATCAGACGTCAAGCTAAACAGACAGGGTTAAAAATATATGATCGACCTTTTTCCCCATCACTTTCATTTTTTAAGTAGTAATTAATAAACATTCGATACCATTACAATTTCCTTTGATTTAATTTTAAATAAATATTTAGAGAGCCCAGGTAGCACATAAAAAAATGCAATTTAACGGTTTTCTTAAAGTAGGAACGTTTAACCTGTGCGGCCTGAGCGCTCTCCTTCCTTCTGCTCTGCGTAAACCTGAACTGATCATCAAATGTCTATAGGGGAAAAGATGGAAAAGATATAGCCATGAGGTTCACTTTTGCCTCAGACCAACTTATTGCTGTTTTATGGTGTGGCTGAATCTGCGATCTGCTGCCACGCGGACTGGAATAACAAATGCTGAAGTAACATGAGTTGTGGTCAGGTTCGGAGTCACTGGTTGGAGCAGACCCGACTTTAATACGTCATCCCAAAATAGAAGCTAATATCTTAATTTGACCTGGAATGAAAAATGTTGTCATAAAACCTCTTAAAAATTTTTATCACGGAGGAGGCAGCGCTCATTTCTGCCTTCAGTTTGACGGCGCGCCGGAGTTTGCGCGGCGTGCGCGCTTATTGAATCTGTGTGTGTGTGTGTGTGTGTGTGTGTGTGTGTGTGCGGCACAGCTCCATGAGCCACTCAAGTCACCGCGTCTCGTTATTGGCGCTATTTAAACCAATGTTGTAAAATTACTTCTGCCCAGCCCAGATGTGCTCACTTGTGCACCTGTGAGCCGTGGTTCTGCTGGAACGCGTCTGACCTCTGACAGACGCACTCTGAACTTCAGATCTTCAGCGCGCTGTTAATAGCCTGAATGGGAATCATTTCTTTATTTATTTAGTTACATCCACAATGTTCTGTGTGTGAGGTTTACAATGTCAGAACACCTGCATGAGACAGGGTGTTAATTACAATCTGCCAGAATGACTCACCACCTTCAGATTCCTCCAACATCGTTAAAAATGATCAAATACGGAACATATCGGCGTGCGCAGGCCAGAGTGCTGAAGCTCGGCGCATTGTTATTATGAAGCTAGGGCACATGTGGAGGACACGCGCGCGCAAAAATATACTTGTTTTCAATTACATTTATTGGGCCCACTTCCTTTTTCTTTGGCCCACCCACAAATGAGTTTCTGGCTACGCTAATGGTGACAAATGACAGACTTCTCTGAGCTCCGCAGCCATTACACTTTTCACCTCGCGCACCCCCTAGCGGCAGCTCGCGCACCCCCAGGGGTGTGCGCACCACACTTTGGAAATCCCTGTTCTATAGGATTATAATATCAAGTAATTAATATTTTCATTTCACAGATTGGTTCACATTTTATTATTGGCTAACACTCTGTTTGATTAGCTTTGTTAAAAAAAGAGTTCTTCTGATTTATTAAAAGAAAGAGTTCTTTGTCTTCATTCTTCTCTTTAGCTGGAAGGGAAACAGTTTTTTTCAGCAAATGCATGACCTTGAGCAATATCTCATGCAGATTAGTTCTGTGTCTGAGACATCTGAGGAGAGAGGGTAAATAACCTTCGGTGGAATAGCTCCATCATCACATTACAACTATGTTTCTCAGCTGGTCAGGGAACTCCTTGGGATTCCCCTGGAGGAGCTGGATCAAGTGGCTGAAGAGAGGTAAGGCTGGGCCTCCCTGCTTAGGCTGCTGCCCCGTGACCTGACCCCAGATAAGCAGAGGAAGATGAAAGAATGGATCAAACATTCTTTTACAAACGTCTTGTTTTGACTCAATATCAGGATTTTTCATTTATATTTTTATTTATAAGAGAGACAAACAGTGTTTTTGTTTATTTCCATCCATCCATTTTCATCCGCTTGTATCCGCGATCTCGTTCTTTCGGTCACTACCCAAAGTTCATGACCATAGGTGAGGGTAGGAACGTAGATCGACCGGTAAATCGAGAGCTTCACCTTCTGACTCAGCTCTCTCTTCACCACAACAGACCGGTACAACGCCCACATCACTGCAGATGCAGCACCAATCCGCCCATCAATCTCACACTCCAGTTTTCCCTCACTCGTGAACAAGACTCCGAGATACTTAAACTCCACCACTTGGGGCAGGACCTCATCCCTGACCCGGAGAAGGTTCTACCCTTTTCCGAATCAAGACCATGGTCTCAGATTTAGAGGAGCTTATTCTCATCCCAGCTGCTTCACACTCGACTGCAAACCACTCCAGCGAAAGCTGAAGATCACGTTCTGATGAAGCCAACAGGACCACATCATCTGCAAAAAGCAGAGACCTGATCCTCAGGCCACCAAAACGGATGCCCTCCACACCTTGGCTGCTTCTAGAAATCCTTTCCATAAAGGTTATGAACAGAATCGGTGACAAAGGGCAGCCTTGGTGGAGTCCACCTCTCACTGGGAACAAGCCCGACTTACTGCCGGCAATGCGGACCAAGCTCTAACACCGGTCATACAGGGACCTAACAGCCCATATCAGAGGGACTGGTACCCCATATTCCCGGAGTACCCCCCACAGGGCCCCTGAGGGATGCAGTCAAACGCCTTCTCCAAATCCACAAAACGCATGTAAACTGGATGGGCAAAGTCCCACACTGTCACGGTATGGGATGGTAGGACCCAAAATGCAGAACCCAGGATGACAAGAGGCAGGAGATGATATATAAGAAAATCCTTTTATTTGCAGGATGAGTCCAAAACTAAAATAAATCCAAAAGGGCTGAAGCCAGTAATCCAAAATGTCCATAAACATAAACTAGAGATCAAAAACACTAGAAACCACGAGAATAACCAAGAAACACTAGAGCTAGGAACGAGAGACTGACAGAATAACCACAAACAATGGACCGACACAAGACAGAGGCAAGACAGCGCTTAAATAACAGGGAGGAGTCATTAGGGAAATTGGCAGCAGGAGTGTGGAGTGACGGCTGGAGAGAAGACAGGTGAAAATAATGATCAAAAATGGGAAAACAGAATCTGAGTTGGGACAAATAACCTAAAAACTCTAAAACACAAAACTAAACGACTGCAGGAAGAACTAACACACACACCATAACACACAAATGCACAAATATAAACAGAACTGGGAAATGGACAAACACACACACACACACACACGCTGACCCATATAAACAGAACTGGGGAATGGACAAGCACACACACACACACACAGAACTGGAGCAGGACACTTACACACGCACGTTGAGCTGGGGACAAAGAGGCTGGGGCTTCAAGGACACAGAATGTGAATGAAGACCTGGAGGGGCTGGGGATGAATGAGATGACACGGGACCAGGGAGGAATAATTTTAAAGCCTACAACATAAAGACATCTAACCCCCAAATTCCACTACCTCCGCTCCGCTCCGACACGAACTCCGGAGCAAAATTGGTCCCGTTGTAGTCAACCAGAGCAATTCCACTACTGCGGCCGTGCTCCCGCAGTGCGGCGCAGTGTGCCGCCCTCTGTTCCGGCGTCCAGCAAAAATAGGATTGATTCTATTTTTGCCGGACGTCGGAGCACCTCCGCAGTCAATGGACAGGAATCACAACCGCACAACAGGAAAAGGAGCATGCACAACTTCCGTTTTTCACAATAAATCAATAAACAAAAGGCGTTTTTTGTTTCATGTGCAAAGGTTTAACAACTTTTAACAACTATCAATGGCGGCTGAAGTTTAAATGCACAAAAATAAGCCATAAATACAGTTTCCACTATCAAAGTAGTCACACTTTGTTGATCCAAACACTGCTGATCTCTCAACACAAATGATGGGCAGATTAAACAGTTCATTTCGATGCTTCTCCCACACAACGGGTGTTTGGATCTAACTTCCGCGTTTATTGCTCGGACTCTATCGCAAGATCTCGAAAATCCAGCGCATGCTTGTTTGCCCACCTCAGGTCTCCGCACCGGAGCGGAGCCGTTGTAGAGCGGGTATAGTAAAATTTGAGTTTGGAAGCGAGCGACTGCGGAAGGCGGGGGCGGACCGGAGCGGAGCGGAGGTAGTGGAATTTGGGGGTAACTGAGATGCAAACAAAGGACACATGAGGGCGCTAAGAGACACAAAAGGGAATCTAGAGAGGGATGGAGAACACCAGGAGGCACATGAAGGAAGGGGCAGACGCAGACCATGACACACACACTCTCCAGGATCCCCCTAAGGGTATAGAGCTGGTCCAGTGTTCCACGGCCAGGACGAAAACCACATTGCTCCTCCTGAATCTGAGGTCCAACAATCCAAAGGACCCTCCTCTCCAGAACCCCTGAATAGACCTTACCAGGAAGGCTCAGGAGTGTGATCCCCCTGTAGTTGGAACACACCCTTCGTCCCCCTTTTTAAATAAGGGGACCACCAACCCGGTCTGCTAGTCCAGTGGGACTACTCCCGATGTTCACGCAATATTGCAGAGCTGTGTCAGCCAACACAGCTCCACAACATCCAGAGCCTTAAGGAACTCCGGGAATCTCATCCACCCCAGAGCCTTGCCACAGAGGAGCTTTTTAACCACCTCAGTGACCTCAGCACCAGAGATTTGTGTTTCTTTATTTATCTATTTTTTTCATAGGAAATATTCAATGGGTTTATTAACTTTAGTTCACCTTTAAAGACAGAAGTAGACGGGGCCTTCCAGGGACCAATCAGATTCCAGGAAAGTGGCCCTTTAGCCCCACCTTTATTAAGGTGCAGCTTTTATAGTTCTGTTGCTTTACCACCATCTAGAAAATTCATGAAATATTTTTAATTTGTTTTATGCTTCCAGGAGCTGGAAGGATGTCTGTGACAATGAGCAAAGCAGATGGGGTCACTGTCTTCACTGTGGCCTCTGACCCTGACAGCCAATGGCCGCCCTTGTGTCAGATCCTTAAGAGTCTTTGCTACAGCCGAGTGTGCTGCTCCGTGTCCCTGCAACTCAAGAAGATCCAGAGAACGTCTCTGTCAGTCCTCGGGGTGAGCTGAGTTTTTCCTAAACGTTCTGTTTCGGTTTGAATCCAGAGTGTTTTGTTTGACTTTTAACTTTAAATAAAATATAAACACAAATAAATGTCCATTAGGTTTATTTGTGTCTTATTAGAAGTATAGTTTTCTCTTCATTGACAAAAATCTGTTTAACTTACATGAAGTTTTCTAGTTTATTGGTGAGGTTGTTCCCCTTTGACAGGCACTGCAGATTATGATCGGGCTGCTGAACATCGGCCTTGGCATCATCATCCATCAGAGCTATTTTGAAGGTGGCTGGTTTGTAGTCTACATCGGGCTTCCCTATTGGCTGGGAGTGCTGGTAAGCAGATCCCAACAGCAGGAAGTTAAACGTTTTTTTTTTTAAACTTGGGTGGGGGTCATCATGGGAGACGTTTCCACTTTCGGATCTTTAGGGTCGTTTTATCAGAACTTCACAACTTGCGCATGTTTCCATTTCAACAGAGTTCCTGAGCTGGAGTGGGTACTCGATACTGTCTGGTAGAGTTGCTGAGCGAGACTTTTGTTTAAAAGTGCGGTTGACTGAAAAGGAATATTTCTAATGATTATTTCTGATTATAATTGGTCACTGTGAGTTTTTCATGCAGGCTGAACATGAAAATAGTCTCCTACACGTATCTTCTGCATTAGCTTCTGACGTGAAACTCTCAGATCTACGTCACACTGTCACTTAACATTCATGGACTCCATCTTGACTCACGACGGGGAAGGCTGTTGTTGGTTTAGTGCACAGGTATCAACAGACAACGACCCGACTAGTAAAAGCTAACAGTTAGCATTAGCAACTTCACCACACAAAAACTCCTCCAGGCTTGTGTTATTTGTGGAGATAAAACATCAACATTGCATGCCAGTGATAGAGTTGCGTTGCTTTTATTCAATCCGAAGCTAGATGTCTGAATATCAGGAAATAAGACTCCAAATCCTGCTGCCACTCTGTGCGGCAGCAGACTTGTCAGTGCTGAAACAAGCAATTCTGGGCTTTTTTTGCCCCGAGTTCAGCTTGCACAGCCTTCATTTCTACCAGAGACCACAGCAAATGTATCGATTAAACAAGTTTTCACACCTTTAACTCACTCTGGCTGGAGTTGGAAAAGACTTTGGCAGATGTTGTGAAACAAACAGCATTTGTAAACTGGAAGAATTGCTGTTGAAATGAAAAAGAAGGAAAAGAAAAGAGCAATCGCCGTTACTAAATTCCCAACACAGAAGAATGTAGCGGAATTTCCCCGAAAAGGATGTAATTCACAGGGCTTTGTTCTCTTGCAGAGCACCATAAAAACTGCTCTTCTGGTCATTGAATGCAACATTTTACACCACACAGCTGCTCTCCCAGTCCTCCGACTTAATTAAATAATGGCGTACTTTGACAGAAAAAACTTTTACTGATACTAATGTCTGTTGACACTTGGTGCTGATCAGTGACGTCACTCGCTGCTGAAGCCGTCTCGATATGCTGACATCTCAGCAAAGTCCTGAAAGGGTGGAATTTTATTGAAACACAGCAACTGAGGCAACTTAGCCACCGTGTCTCCCAGTCAATTTCCCCCTTTTCAGAAATTTCCCGGAACTCCTATAGTGGAAACTAGGGACGTCCCGTTCCGATATTGATATCAGATATCAGCCCAAAAACACAGTGTCAGATTATATCGGACTGTATCAACAATCTCCGATATTTACTGTACATTCAGCTTTAAAACCCGTTCCAGCAATTCTACCCAGCAGCGCCCAGATCCATCATGCAAAGTCCTTGTGATCAGAACAGTGTGTACTAGCAAAGTAGCAAGGAACAATGTCGGCCGTGTGGCTGTACATTTTGTTAAAGACCGAAAAAGTCAGTTTGGCTCAGTGCAGCACTTGTCATGCACAAGTTTCCCGTGGTGGAAAAGAACCGGAGAAGATTAATACGCCCAACCTCGTTGCGCAAATGAAGCAGGATCACAACATTGCATGAGGATTTTCACAGTGTGTGAAATAGAAACTTTAGACACTCAACTTGTAGTGGTTGGTCAGTGAACAATATTTTTTGTTTGTTTTTGTTTTTTTGTTGTTGTTTTTTTGCTTATGTCCCTAACCTCTGCTGTTTACATTTATGCAGTCAAAGGTTAATGAAACATTGGTCAGTTTTTTTTTATACTTACTGTTGTTGGCTTTCGTTTTCTGTTTGAGTAAAATCACTTGATCAGGCCTTTTATACATTCCGCATTATGAAATAGGTAAAAGTATGCACGATTTGTGCTGATATCATATCGAATTGATATTGGTCAGTACTGAAGGCTGCAATATCGGTATCGTATCGGAAGTGAAAAGGTTGTATCGGGACATCCCTAATGGAAACACAGCCATGGTGACCCTTAACGAGTTGCTGGTGGTAACCAAGGTGACCCTAATCATCCACTAGGGGTAGCTTCAACATTTCTTCTAATCTTGGCTCTTGATTAAGTTTATTAATCAAATTATAGGCTTGTTTTTTTAGCCTTGATTTTGACAATGTATGTTGGAA